AGGTTGATGCCATCAGTCTGTGTGCTGAGATTAAAATTCGAGGGAGTTATTGAAGCGAGAGGATACTAATTGAGAGTGACAGCCAGGCACCTCTTAAGGATCCTAAGGTTTAAGGTGTTCGATTATTCGCCATATTTCGAAAACTGGTTTTCGAGTTATTCGAAAAATTGCAATTAAAAAAAAAAACAGTTCCCTATTTTGAAATTAAGAAAAAAATCGGATAAACCGGTTTAATTTACATAGTTTTCATACAATTAAAATGCTTATGTTGGTTCGAAGACATGATCAAAAACTACAATAAAACTATTGACATTAAGAATAGCTTTTATTCAGAAAAGAGCAAAGCAAAATAAGTTCAAAGATTTTTATATCAAAAGTAAAACAAATAAAAACGTGTGAAAAGTTCGCGTTTGGTCTTATTTTAATTTTTTTTTTTAATAGTTTACTGCATTTTTTCGGATTTGAGTAGTGCTCTTGCTACCGTAGCCGAGTACTTGGATGTACCGCTACTCGGTAGGTTCATAGTTCAATTTCTGGTCCCAGCAACATCAAAAAAAGGCAAACCTCCGAGTGTAGTTCTGCGAAGCTGCAGTAAAAGTGTAGATCTTTCCATTTAGGGATTTCCCTTGAAGAGGAAAAACCTTTCAAATCTTCCAAAAAAATTCAAATCTTTTATTGAGAGGTAAAGATTTGTATGAAATGAAAAACCCGGGTTTTTTCAATAAAAAATCGAAAAATTTTGATTTCAGGAAAACCGCCTGTATATATCAAAAAAAAAAAACCGTTGGAAAACGGTTTGGAAAACCCGAGTATATCACCTTACAAGACTACGAGAACCTCCCTAGTGTAAAATGATAAACGTTCTGCAAATTTTTCATAGCAACAAATCACGCGACAGACCTGAATTATTTAAGAAAAAATTGAGTAACTCGATTCCGTAAAGAATTTTTAGACAATGAGATATACTTAGAAACAAATTATTAAATTTAACTGGAAAAAATAAAATAAATAGCCCAAAACGGGTGACCATATCATCTTGACGCGGGGTGTAGGTTAGTTGATAGCTGAAGCTGTACAATGAACAATAAGCACCGTGCATGTTTTTTTTTTTGGATGAGGGAAAAATGGAGGTAGAGGTCTTGACGGAAATGTTGAAAAGTACAATTAAGCTCACATGTTACACATTTTTCGTTAACTTAGTACAATTTAAAAATCTCAAGTATCAACACTGGTTCTAACAGCGTTTCAAATACACAGTTTTTTCTGTATTCAAGCGAGTACAATGGGTTTAAATGGGTTAGTTGTGTCGTTATTGCGGGGGACAATGGAAATGTGTGTGCGAATAAACTCACAAATAATGTATAAATCGTATCCTTGCCTTGAAAATGGCTATTCCAAAATACTTTACGACTATCTCCGAAAAATTACCTATCATAAATTGGGTAGAATTTTCATACCATTCTTCATCAAACAAATGCTTACCCGTTCACTGTAATTTTTTTTTGGAGATCAATCTGGTGTTGCACGCTCGCTGTAAATTGTTTCTTCTCGAGAATTTAAGCGATAAGCCGTGGTCATGCATTTACATACGTACATCTGTATGTACATTAAGGTGCCGCACAAAAAGAGATACGAATTTTCCACACTATTTATACAACCTATTACATTTTAAAATTTTCAATCAAGTATTTGGGAAAAATATTTAGTTTTACGTGAGCTAGACCGATTTGAAAATGGCACATAAAATCTCATTATTTGAATCCCGTTTATCAAAATAAAAAAAAAAAAATTTCCAAAACTTTTGAGCTTAAGCTCTTCAAAAATCTGAGGTGATTTAAAAAAATAAAATAAAATTAAATACTTACGTTATTTACAAAAAAAAATCGATTGTGTGAGGTGTCTTCTAATAGCTCAACCAGACGTATATCTCAATATCTTTCAGAAATCTTTTGGCGGAGGTCTTAAATATCATAGATTTTATAATTGCTATGGAAAAACAGCGCCGATATTTTTGGACGGATAGTGATGTACCTTAATATTTATTCATATTTGTGTTAACATTTTTATTTTCTTTTTATACAATTTAAAACAGCGTGAGCAACCGAAACGGCAAAGGCGTAAGCGTTTGATTCGAGCATGCAAGTTTACACATATTTTTTTATTCCTAAAAAAGCTCAAAAAAAAATGTTGTCGCTGCCCAAAGTTCCGAAAAAGGCTCCGCAAGCGAAAATACTTAACCGCAAACATACAAGCTGTATAAAAAATATGTAAGTTATCAGCGACTCTGGCGTTTTCAAGGCCGTTTTGCGTAGAATCGTAGACTAAAGAGAGTGCAGAGCAACGTTATCGGCTTTAAGAACCAACAGAAATTGGAGCCACAATCACCACTAACTAACACCACAAACAAAAGTCAGCTTTAGAATGCTAAAGAGAGTAGCAGTAGGTTGACTAAAATTTTCACATAGCTTAAGGCTGCAGTACCAAATGATAGCTGTGCGCAATGCGATATAAAATTTTTGCATAGATCACGCGTTAAAACTAAATCTGATTGAAAAGTTAAACTAAATCGCAAAGCAAAAACTGCATTTAACGCCAAAATGGTGAGAACCAGCAAAAACTTGACACACAAAGAATGGACACTACTCATCATTTTCGTCATCTATTGGTTCATTTTCTTTCCAATTATTTGGTTTGTCATACAGCCGCGAATATTTTTGGTCGATAAATCAGCGACGATTTTATACGCAGTAATATTAGTCGCTATCTACGCTGTTCTGCATTGCATCATCTACATCTGCTTCAAACGTTATGAGCAGAAGCGCGGGAAAGAGCTAGAGCGACGCATCTACTCGTTACCCAAAGGCATTACGCCCGAGGATATAAGAAATAAGCCACTCTCCTTGGATGCTTCGTTGTACGTACCAAAAAAACAACGTGTTAGTATGCGAGTAGAGCCGCCAACAGTGCCGAATGCAGCAGCAACAGCTACAAACGGAAGTGAAAATTCATATGAGACGGATTCCCGACGGGGCAGCAATGTAACCATACCATTGTATATCAAAGAGAATGACGACGGAAAAGTGCGTTTCATATCCAGTTATGAGCTTTACTATGATGGAGAAAGATTTCGTGATGAAGTGTAGATGGAATTGAGAAGAAATAAGTTTAAAAATATTTAATAATTGATTTATATCATCAAGTACTAATTGATATTCTCATATAAAAAAAAAGCCATTGTAAGAAGACATTGCAGTTCTGCAGAATGCATTTATTTTTATAGTATCTAAAGTATAAGCCGAATTCAGCTACCTGGTAGGAAAATTGTGGTTTCAAATTGTGAAAACAAAATTCATAAATCAAATAATGAGCATCGAAATATGTACATATGGGGAAAAAGGAAAAAAATATTTTATGGCAGCAGTGTGTAGAATAGTTTTTTCTACCGCGGCTTTTCTTCGAGTTATTCGAGTTTAAACATGCAGATTTCAACCCTTTTTCTTAGAGTCACAAGTTTTCTTAAAATTCTTGTCTCATGTCACACTTATGATGGAGAATCGAAAATTGCTGACTTATTTAAACTTTTTCCAAGCTTTTTTTGGTGATAACTATAATTTTTTTGAATTTTTTTGCAATAAATTTGCAATAAATTTTTTTTTTGCATTTTTTAAACAATGTACCAATTTAGTTTTTTTCGCAAATGGCTTATTTCGATAGTTTATTCTCTAGACTTTTCAATGATTTATAATTTGTATTGACCGTGGAAAATTTACTACAAGTTTTTCATCTTAGAACGCACTCGGGTCCGCCAAGCATTTTTGTCGGTAATAACATACATAAGTTTGCAGAAGTGAAAAAATTGTCCGAACAGCGACATTTCTATATGCACTCAAATGTAAAATTTCCCGCTGAAGCCGAATACGAAATAATAATGTATATAGATATAGCCGAATTTCAGGTTTTTGAGATCTGAAAAAAAGTCATTTACTTTATTAACATTTTCTTTGGATGCAGTTAGCAAACCGCAAGTTTTTGTTCGAATTTTTATGAAGAATTTTCCATTAATTCCGAATACGAAATCAGAATAGACCAATATATAAAAGTTTTTCAGATTTAGCCTAACTCTGCGTTTTTGAGATCTGAAAAAAATGCACTCTCACTTAATAGCAATTGTCTTTGGACCTAGTTGGCCAACAGTTACATTTTTGTATGAATTTTTATGAATAATTTTTCGCTGAATCCGAATACGAAATCAGAATACAAGTAGAAAAGTTTTTGAGCTATTGCGAAATTTTGGGTTTGTTGGATCTGAAAAAATGGAACTCACTTAATTGCAATTTTCTTTGTATGCAGTCATATGAATCAACAAGATTATCCACATGGAGAGTCAATTCAAGAGCAATACACTTGTGTGTAGTGAAATAAATTTTTTTTTTTTAATTTTGTTGATGCTATGCAAACTTGTCGATAAACCAAGGTATTGCAATTTCCGATTCTCTATCATAGGTGTGACATCCCTGCAGGAAATGGATCTAACTATAAGCTAACTTTAAGTTGATTAGGAAGGAGCTAAAAGTCACTTATTGTCTGTATATTTTCTTTGACGAAAGCTAACTATATTTCTATGGCGATGGCCGCGAAATAGTCAAGGGTGGTTTACCTCTGAAAATATTTCATTTCATTTTATTTTATTTTATTTATTTTTTATTTACTTTATTTATTTTATTACATTTCATATTTGCTTGCATATTCCGCTGTAGGTGGTCCCATATTCCAACTCCGTCAGACTTAACTTCAAAATGATAATATAAAACTTCGATCTGCCTTTTATGTGTCCTTAATTCGAAAAGGTATTTGCGAAGTGCAGCATATTTAAATAGAAACGCGTTTAAAGAAAAAAAATCTCCTTCATTACTCCTGCATTACTTCTCAACTAGTTTCAAGTTAGCTTTTTGTAGCTAACTACAGGTTATATATTTTATAGAAATGCTGCAAAATTCCTAACTATAGGTGGGTTATTTTTTATCAATTGATAATTTTTTCAGCAGGGATGAGGGAACAATTTTAAGAAAAATTGTGACTCTAAGAAAGAGGACTGAAATTTGCATGTTTAAACTCGTATAACTCGACAAAACACCGCGGTAGAAAATACATTAATTTACACAATGGTTACCAGTAACCGTAGCAACAACGTGGTGGAGTTTGAACAAAATGCTGCCATAAAATATTTTTCCATATATAGAATTAACTAGCGGTTTCACCACCCATTTAAGCTAAAAATGATTGTTTCCCATTCTATCAGTTTATACCTATAATAAAATGAAAATAACAATTTTTCAACTAATAGGCGGCAGAGACGTGCGGTGGCATGATAACAGCTGTCAAACGCGTGCTATTGAAAAGCATACAAAAACAAATTTGCAAGCTTGCATCGATAACAAAACCTTGAATGATCAAATTGAAGTTTTGCGCATTTATTTTGCCAATAAGTTTTTTTTTATTTTAAAGGCCAATACTTGCACTAAATCTTTTGTTATACATGACCCTTATATTTGCACTTAAGTATTTTAATCGAATTATTTTATAATCAGCTAAAAGGTAAGCCAAATTTCAAATATCTTTAATTTTTCATCGACTATAACTTACAAAATCGGCGTACATAGTTCGGCTATGAGAAAGCATACAGGATGAGCGTACATACTCGTAGTACAGACATAACAACTGAAATCTTGCCTATTTGCTTGAGTGAGACAAAAGTGAAAAACCATAATTTAAGATATATCAACTTAAAATTTGGCATGCTAAGCTAAAAAAAAAAAAATATAGGCATCAACATGGTAATGGAAACCTGTTCCAATTAGTGTAAAAGGGGTCTAGTTTCGAACTATTCCAAAAAAGACTCAGTCTATTCAGGGTATACCAGTGATAAGTGCTTTTATTTTGGGAGGTGATAGGGAAGATCTAGACCAGAGGTTTCCAAACCTATTTTTCTCGTAGACCCCATTCAAAACTTTACTAGTTTCGGTGGACCCCCTAATGCTCATTTCTAACATAATTATTGCCAAAGCTCATCAAAAAATCTGAAGATTAAATCTAACGATGGAATTTTGCATCGCGAGTGAGTTCCAAAACTAAATTTGCAGTGGCTAAAAAAAAAATAAAATATTTTCTTGTGTTCTATTTATTAAATTAATGTGATTAAACACTTGCAAGTTAAAAAAAAAAAAAAAAACAAGCTCGTAAAGCCAGAAAAGAACTATTTCGCTCCGAGGAGTTATATTTTTTAAGAGCATTCATGAATTTGCATGTGATGTATTTGTCAAATAGTTTATTTGTGTTGATGACATCATTTTTATTTTTATCCGTCCGAGTTTTGAAGTGATGCGAAAAATATTCGTCACTCGCATTTTTAAAACACAAAACTTGAAACAATAAAACTGCAAAGCTTTTTACGCCAAACTTCAAATTCAGAAATGGAAAAAAAAGAAAAGACCGATTCTAGATAAATCGATAATAAACAAACAAGCAAGCAAGAAGCTCAAGAAATGTTCCACCGTCACATCCTCTTCAAAGCAGGATGGGCAAATGGAGTTGTCATTTACGGTGTTTGTGCCTCGTGAAGTGACTAATCAGCGGTCCCGTCTTCTCAGTGAGAGGAAAAAACTAGAACGACCTTTTGAGATTGAAGGCTACATGATATTTGCCCACCTGCATCCACTCGATGGCTCCCAGTCATTGCTGAGCGAAGTATCCACCAAGTTTCTGATGGTGGCTTCGATGGTCGAAGTAGGGCGCGCTATAACTGGTTGCGGACGGGGAATGCCTGGTCTAAGCCAACTGTGGCCAAAGGGTCAAATGTCTCATTTCCGAGCACTTCCGAGTTGCCCGGAACCCAGAGTAAACCAAGCTAGTTATCTA